AAAAAAAAAAAAAAAAAAAAACAACTCCCAAAGAAAATCACTCCGGTCTGAAAACTCATCTTTGGGGGGAAGAGTTAAGTGTCCAAGGTTATAACAGCTGATGAGGTCAGAGGGAGCTGGCCTGGCAACTAGACCCTGCCCCTCCACAGCGGACGGCTTCCAGCAGAAGTGAGTCTAAATTCTCCAGTAGACAATACTGATGCCAGGGAGGACAAGGGAGTGGGTAGGGTTGGGGTATTAAGATACAGGCTACTGGGGCGCCTGGGTGGCGCAGTCGGTTAAGCGTCCGACTTCAGCCAGGTCACGATCTCGCGGTCCGTGAGTTCGAGCCCCGCATCGGGCTCTGGGCTGATGGCTCAGAGCCTGGAGCCTGTTTCTGATTCTGTGTCTCCCTCTCTCTCTGCTCCTCCCCCGTTCATGCTCTGTCTCTCTCTGTCCCAAAAATAAATAAACGTTGAAAAAAAAATTTTTTTAAAAGATACAGGCTACTGCATTTTATCCAATGGTGGTGGGAGAGGGGTACCTGGAGAAAACAAAGTCAATCTTTTCCTTTTTTGAAACGAAGCTAAAACATGAAGAAATGTTATTTTTTGTTCAATAAACACGGGATAGAATTCCAACATCCCTAGCCACAGGGCCAGTTCCACTGAGAAGTGAACAGTGGGGGCTCCAAATTTTGCAAGCATTTGGGGAGAGGGGAGAATTGGCTTTCTGTTAATTGGCAAATGTTCCAAAGAGTCTCTGTGTTCGTTGGGAGGTGCTGTTATATACACACATGTATGGACCAGAGTCTCTGATGAGTTTATAAGGTTCAGAAGAGACGGTTGATAAAATCTTGCGTTTTGCTAATTCATACCAGTACAAGCCTAGTAGAACTCCAAAAAAAAAAAAAAAAAAAAAAAAAAAAAAAAAAAAAAAAAAAAAAAAAAAAAAAAAAACACATTGGATAATGGGGGAATAAACTATAGATCATTAAAAAAAATTTTCCCCCTATAGGGAAAAGAGGACTGGGTTGAGGGGAGAAAACTAGAAAGTAAAATTATTTGAATATACCTGATTTTCTAGATTTGACTTTGGAACCATGTAAATCATCATTTAATTATGAGATAATTATAAAAATTAAATTTACAAAGCACCCCTAAAAAGTGAAAGTAAAACAAAACAAATAGAAAATTGTAGACCTATAATAGATGTTTTCTTCAGAGATTTCAATAAACAAGGGATTTTAAAAAATATCTTTTATAGTTCATTTTTTTATTTTGAGAGAGAGTCAGCATGAGTGGGGGGAGGGGCAGAGAGAGAGGGAGAGAGAGAGAATCCCAAGCAGGGTCCACTTTGTCAGCATGGAGCCCGATATGGGGCTCGAACACAAAACCATAAGATCATGACCTGAGCCAAAGTCAGAGACCTAACTGACTGAGCCACCCAGGCACCCCAACAAGGGATTTGAAAACAACACTGAGTCTATTTTGTTACCGCAAGTGGAAAACAATGAATTGGCTAGTCGAACCAACCAACATCGCCCTAAACATCATTGGGGAAATTAACGTGATTCAAATCAGTTTGTTTCTCATCTAAACCACTGAAAATCCACTATAGCCCCGTCCACATCTACCACTGGCAGACAAAAAAGACCCAGTGCTACCTACAGCCCGTCCCTCCCATAGTGACTGGAGGTGGCCACGCTGTGCCCACAACAGCTTTTCTCCCACTCACCAAGGGTTGGTTCCCGGCTGCCATCTTGTTGGGGGTCCACGGAAAGCAAACTGGCTCCCCAATTAGTGGATTGCGGTAGAGTCCCGTGAAGACTCACAAAGTGAAGAAGT